CATATCATGCATTTTCCCCCGCACCTCTGAATGTCTATTTTAGGTTCAATTTGTCTGCATTATAAATGCAAACAAATTGTGAATATATCAATAGAAATTAGATATTCTAAAAATATATATGTGTGTGTTTTAGTCCGGCAACCGAGTGGCTTTCCAGACCAATATTATCCAGCGGTGTTTATTTAATTAACACAACTCTACATCCGGTTCCCACTTTTTCTGTCTCATCCGCCAAGGCAGGTGTGTTAAACACGTGCTCCTGTAACAGGACCCTGCGGGGTGGGCTGGTAGGAATAATACTTAGTACCGGTACAGAGATATCGACCGGGTATAGAGGAGTTAAAGAAAAAATACTGTATTCTAGTGTAACGTTAATTGAAAGTGTTAGTTTTGACAAGAAACGCTGTGAGATTTAAAGACTCGTAGTCTTTCATTTCCAACACCACCCTCAACACCACCCCTCCCACGGACGGACGGACGGACGGACGGACGGACGGACGGACGGACGGACGGACGGACGGACGGACGGACACATTAATCTATTGGTGGTCTGGTCCACTTCGTTCCTACCAGTATAACCAGAGGTTATTGGCAAGGACACTCCTCCGTATAAGCGGTGGGACCCCGTTCGACGCAGGCATCATCTGTAAAAGGCAATACAAGTTGAACTTCTTTCAATTTAACTAACAATTTTAAAATGTCATCGGTAGATCAGCTGCCTGTTTGATTAAGTAATTATCAAGGCTTAAACCCCAGGTTGCGTTGAGGTATTCAGAATTGTCTTCATGATCTTAAGTAACCACCCGCCGCCAACATCGGCGAGCATGATCATTATGCAAACACTCACAGGATTCACGGGCATCATGGCATGCGGGAAATGCCAAGTGGTCAATAGAGAATACCTAAAAGAGAACCAATCTCCGGAGTTTAGGTACGAAATGTAATGGTTCGTTGAAATGCACAGCATTGATTCATATTCTTGGTTCTTTCGGTAAAGTCACGTAGAAGGGAAATAATAAAATAATATAAATATTAAACAATAAAAATTATCACGACGTTTCGACTGCAACACAAGCAATCATCAGGTGTGAAATCCACAGCAAAAAAAATTGAAGAAGAAAACTAATTATTGATGTGGATTTCAAACCTGATGATGATTGCTTGCTGCAGTCGAAACGTCGTGAACATTTTTATTGTTTTATATTTATATTATTTTATTATTTCCCTTCTACGTGACTTTACCGAAAGAACTGAGAATATGCACAGCATTGTTTAATTGTTAAAACACCACGTTGCATCTTGCAAGCAGAGCGAGATAAGGGAACTCATACTGGGGGTGTCATCTCCTTAGCTTGGCCTATTATTAATAGCCCAATAACATAACTTATTAATGAGTAAATAATTGTGGAACAACTTAAGCTTCAAATCGTTTTTTGCGTCAACATGAATAATTAATTAATTTTCCTGTTGGTTTCAATTTATTGCAAGTGACTTATCGTGCGATATTCAGCCTCATTAATGTAAACGTTGGAACAACAGCGTCCACAAAGCGTCATGAGAGTCTCATTACTCCAGACGATCTTCGCCCTTCCACGTTTGGCAGCCCTGATCCCGGTCGTGTAAATTCCACATTCCTATGGAAGCGACCAGTCTCTCCAATCACTCCAATCACGGACCAATCGTGATACAAGCACAATCACGAAAACAATCTATAAACAATCACAATCACGAGGCCACACCCAGTCGCGTTATCTCATCCAGCAGAACGGATTGTGTGTGTGTGTGTGTTGATAATCGTGGGGAGCTGTGGAGTAGCGGTTAGCTCACGGCCAACACCAGTGACGATTATCTTAACCGGTGCTGGGCGGGCCTCCCCTAGGTCGACTCAGCCTCAAATTAGTAATTTTGTCTCCCCAGGCGGCCGGGCATGGTGCTGACCACCCACTCTCTCGTCTGCCGTGCCGGCCTTCATATGTGCCCGCTAACAGTACTTGCATTAATCGCCTATCAGTGTGCAGGCAGCCACAGCGGCACATTGGCTGCGTCAAGCACTCAAAGAGGAGGTCCCTCAAGTTGAGATCCGTGGACCTCGGCTAACGCGTGGCCGCTCAGACACATTTGGGATTTGCATCGCTATTACGCGGTCTGGTTGCACTGCGGCTGCAAGCTTCAAGCTTACAAGGCTGGGACAAACGCACTGGTGTGAGCCGATGGCCGAGATGAGTCCAGTGCATTCGGTCGTTGTAAGAAGATGTGTTAAGTGCCGAGAGTGACTGCGGGGGTGCAAGGTGCTGTCTGTCACATCGCGATGTTAAAGCGATCCCTCGCCCGCATTGCAGGCGCACAAGAGCCTCCAATAGTGGAAGCGATCCAGGGGTGTGTGGCTGACTCTCTCGGGCTGGATGGGACGTCCTTGCATGGGGTGGGAATAACGACGATTGACCCCACCACACGTGATCTGCAGATCTACTCAGTGCGAGCCACGTGATGCGAAATTCATGAAATGCTGTTGTGTATAGGGCATGAAATAGTAAAGCTGTCATTTGACTGACAACTTTCACGTGTAGTATATTTGTGTGTGTATATAGTCTCTACACGTCGCCATCCATATTGGACGGTCTCATGATGCCAGCAATCCAGCTCGCTATCTTATCGCTCCGTGGTTGGCTACGTAGGGCGCGAAAGAAGTTCAAAATACATATGTACCAATGAAGCAGTCGACATGGCGCACGCGTTTGCAAGCGAGCAATTATGCGGCCCGTATCGTTTTCCCTTTTTAAGCAGGCTGTACGCAACGCAACATCAATCAAGATGCTGCTCGAGTGAGCAATTGGGCAATGCAACTAATCACGCGTGAGAATGCATGCGGGAAATAAAATCCATCAAATACGCAAACACGTTTTTGGAACACTGCAGTTGAATACAGAGCTGCAATGCCAAAGGGTGACTGCATTCTGTCTTTCGTGTGGATCACACAGATGTCGCGAAACTCGCTTCCCGTTGGCGTCGACGTGGAGCAGTATCCCTGGCTCACCAGGAGAGGGCGGCACAGCAAGTGGACTAATCGCCATCTGTTTCCATCTGTACGGGGATGGAGCGTTGCCACCCCCCTCCCCCCCTATCGCGCGCGTGGATTTTTTTCCGGGTCTTCTGGTTTTCGTCACAATTGCAAAAACAACTCACACATTTTCTGGCAACATCTGGATATACAATCCAATGAAGCGGGACCCCTCGTGAAAAAAGCCGTATGACGTGATTGGTGTGGCTTTCATCGATAATTAACTAACTATAGTGGTGATGATGATGATGATTATTATTGTAAGAAACGTTTACCCTCTGAATTTTAAAACAAATATCAGAGGCGCGTCTCATAATCCAGTAGGTGTGTGACCATGTTTGTATGATCCGAAGAATAAAATTTAAAAAAACGAAACACGTTGGTTAAAATATATATACACCACTTTCTGTCAACAAATAAGAAAGACGACCCATTGTTTAACCACTCGATTGCACTCACTCCGCGCTCAGCAGTAATCGTGTCCACATAGCCAATGGAGTGTATCACAAGCGGTGTCGACACCGAACGTCTGCACCGCTAACACAGCAGAAGTAGGGGTTTGTTTTAGTCTACTATTTTCGCACGAGCGATTTCGTTATACAAAGACAAAGATCCCCCGTATAGCCTCAACAGACTGTTGGGGCAAGTGCTGTTAGCGAGCACCTATGAAGGCCGGCACGGCACACGAGGGGTTGGGTTGACAGCACCACGCCCGGCCGCCTTTGTCTCCCCAGTGACGATACAACACTTGGTCTCACACACATACCTACCGGATTACAAGACGCAGCAAGAATATTTATTTAAAAAATACAAGTGCGTCTTATAATCGAGAGAACAAAAACTGTGCACACACACATACAGTATACAAATTCCGAAACGACTGCTTGTGTGTGTACTGGGGAGCGGTGGTGTAGTGGTTAGCGCGCTGCGCTACGAACCTGGCGCCCCGAGTTCGATTCCCGCTCACGGCCAACGCCAGAGACGATTTATATGAACCGGTCCTGGGGCACTCCCCTAGGTCGACTCAGCCTCAAATGAGTACGCGGTGTGTAAACAGCGCCACTCGGGAGACAAAGGCGGTAGGGCGTGGTGCCGGCCATGTCGGCGTTCATAGGTGCTCGCTAACAACACTTTTCCCAACAGTATGTTAAGGCTATACGGGGGATCTTTATCTTTGTACTGCAGACAGCGCACTGAGCTCGACTCAAAGTCTCTGGCACAACCCAGAGATGAATTGCTCACTCGATATTTCGCTTTTCAGGGCTTGCCGGATTATCGGCGTAAGGCACTACTACCACGACGTATCCATTACAATCATATACTGCATTGTTGTGCCATGCATTTTGGTTACCATATTGTCTTGGACGGATTTCCGAAACGAATTGAGGGATAGAATAAGGCGAGATGCTTGCGTCGAGCTAAACTAATTCCCTTCAACACGAAAAGGCTCTTCTAACGGTGCCAGCCGGAATCAAGTAATTCTAGATTTGAAGCTTTCGTGACTGAAAGGTTTTTTCGGTAAAGTCACGTAGGTTAAAAAATGAAATTAAAATTAATAAAAAATAAATAATAAAAAATCACGACGTTTCGGAGGCAACACAAGTCTCCGTCATCAGGTGGGACCGTCACAGCCAGATTTGCTGTATCAACTGAGGCAGGGATTCCAATATCAAGTCCTCGCCGGATTGTAATACGCACCCCCAACTTTTGCTTTAAATCACGAGGGTGGGTGGGTGTTGGAAATGCGCGTCTTATAATCCGGAATACACGCGCGTAACAACAACAGCAGCAGCAGCACCGCAACACCGACTCTGCATACCAACAACAACAACAGCGCGCGCTCGCACTGCGCTATTGCAACTCACGGCGAGTGCGAGTCGCGGTGCGCTGACGCTGCTACTGCTGCAGCTGCAGCCGCAGCCGTAGCCCACTCTCGCGTTACCTGCTCAGAAGAGGAAGGCAGGAAGCGTCGGGACGATGCTCGCCTCTCGCAAGCCTCTTGCTCGGCACAGGCGCGAGCGTTGTGAATAACGAGCTTAAATAAACGCAGCAGGAGAGATGATGATGGTGGTGGAGGGGGAGGAGGAGGGGGAGGTCTCGGCAAAGCTCCGCAGCTCCAAAGACTTCACCAACGCATGTGGCCCTCTTGCGCCTCCTCGCAACGCAAGTCACAGGAGCGAGCTGCTGCGGTTGCTTCTGCAGCTCGCAAGAAGTAGCATCAGCAGCAGCATCATCAGCAGCATCATCAGCATCAGCAGCGGCGGAGGCGGTGTCACGCCATTACGTAATGCTAATGATGGCTTTGCACTGCGCATCAGATTTCCGTGACGCAGACGCGCGCGCTGGCATCACGCGGGATCCCCGCGGGACTCAATGCGGACGCAATGGACATGACTAATCTACTGCTGGATGAGGGCAGCCAACGCCACCGCCAGCCCGAGCCGTTCGTTCAGGACGTGGGGTTTGCATGGTCATATTTCAGCACTCTGGTCAGCAAGGTGTGGGCAGCATTGTAATTGTTACGCACGAGTACGACATTTTCGTGTAGAGTTTACAATGATTGTGGCAACAATCGTGTTTTCTTCCGTTGTTTAGTTTACCTGTACGGGCACTTTTGTCAATCCACTGCCAAATGAGGGCCTCCCCCTCTCGCCCACCAAGCGGTGAATTGGCCATACTTCACCACGCTGGTAAGCGCTGGTGGTTGAAGATTGGAGTTGTGGAGAGTGCTGGATTGCAATATATAGTTTAACTTATTAAACATGGAAGGCACATGCATTATTGTTTTTTGGGGCTATGTAAATTGCGCTACTTATTGTTTCGTCGTAAAATGATTAACTGGTTTCATATTTGAGTTGTTCGTTCCATTTAAAACGGTGTCGAATGGCGTTTCCTCGCATTTCGTTTGCACTGTACACGTACAGGCCCCTCTATCGCCGTGTCGTGCGGGTTATTTGACCACACCTCACCACGCTGGTCAGTGCAGGGTTTTTACGTGGGAGCATAGAAGTGGAGTACAATAGCTTGTTTATACTGGTAGGAACGAAGTGGACCAGACCACCAATAGATTAATGTGTCCGTCCGTCCGTCCGTGGGAGGGGTGGTGTTGAGGGTGGTGTTGGAAATGAAAGACTACGAGTCTTTAAATCTCACAGCGTTTCTTGTCAAAACAAACACTTTTAATTGACGTTACACTAGAATACAGTAATTTTTTCTTTAACTCCTCTATACCTGGTCGATATCTCTGTACCGGTACTAAGTATTATTCCTACCAGCCCACCCCGCAGGGTCCTGTTTTTCCTACACTACCCTATGCTTCCCACAACATAGACACCCCCCCCCCTGCCCCCCAGAGACTTCTAACGCCAGCAAGTCGGGGAGACAGCGTGACTTTGCCGAAAGAACCAAGAAGATGAATCCCTGCAGTCACGAAAGCTTTAAATCGAAAGCCAGCAAGTCTCTTTCGTCATCCGTCGACGGTCTGAGCTCACTGGGCCTTGCCGAAGTTCCGAGACTCAGTGGTTCATAACCTGACCATGTTTAACTAAACCAGTGGTTCTTCTTAACAAGACAATGTTTAACTAAACCAGTGGTTCTTCTTAACAAGACAATGTTTGACTAAACCAGTGGTTCTTCTTAACAAGACAATGTTTGACTAAACCAGTGGTTCTTCTTAACAAGACAATGTTTGACTAAACCAGTGGTTCTTCTTAACAAGACAATGTTTGACTACATCAGTGGTTCTTCTTAACAAGACAGTGTTTGACTAAACCAGTGGTTCTTCTTAACAAGACAATGCTTGACTAAACCAGTGGTTCTTCTTAACAAGACAATGCTTGACTAAACCAGTGGTTCTTAACCTGGCAATGTTTGACTAAACCAGTGGTTCTTCTTAACAAGACAATGTTTGATTAAACCAGCGGTTCTTGACTTGGCAATGTTTGACTAAACCAGTGGTTCTTCTTAACAAGACAATGTTTGATTAAACCAGTGGTTCTTAACTTGGCAATGTTTGACTAAACCAGTGGTTCTTCTTAACAAGACAATGTTTGATTAAACCAGTGGTTCTTAACTTGGCAATGTTTGACTAAACCAGTGGTTCTTCTTAACAAGACAATGTTTGATTAAACCAGTGGTTCTTAACTTGGCAATGTTTGACTAAACCAGTGGTTCTTCTTAACAAGACAATGTTTGATTAAGCCAGTGGTTCTTAACTTGGCAATATTTGACTAAACCAGTGGTTCTACTTAACAAGACAATATTTGACTAAACCAGTGGTTCTTCTTAACAAGACAATATTTGACTAAACCAGTGGTTCTTCTTAACCTGGCAATGTTTGACTAAAACAGTGGTTCTTAACCTGACAATGTTTGATTAAACCAGTGGTTCTTCTTAACCTGGCAATGTTCGATTAAACCAGTGGTTCTTATCCTGACAATGTTTGACTAAAACAGTGGTTCGAAAACACAAATGAAGCATGGGCATGTAAGAACAACTTACTTTGTTTAATCAAACCCTGTGTATTTATTAACATTGTACTTTTATTTTACGATTGAGAAACAAATGGGTACAAGGCTGCAGTCAATGTTAAGAGCCACTGCCCTAGAGAGTCTGAGTATCAACCCTGGATGTGCTTCTGAGGTCTTAACGAGATCACGCGCGCATTAAAGGGCGACGTGGGTCGTGGCGCTGGTGTTGTTTACGCGTTTTCTATCCGTGTTGTGCTGTATTTAAGTAATCCCATGTCTCTTTTGGGCTCAAAACCAGTCCCAAATAAAGGTCGTCTATGTATCACATACGTGTGTGTGCATGTGCATGCAAGCGGATGAAATTGAGGTTTCATGTCGGAGGCTAATGCTTGAACTGTACACGCTGCGTACCGTACACACGTGCGTGAAATATGCATTTGGCCATGGCTGATTACAAAATTAGCGGTGTTTTAGAAGGGCTAGAAAGGTGCAAATTTACACAAACATAGTCGAATCCATGGTTATGGTAAAATTGCATTTTCAAAATTTGGGTTCACCAAAAGTTACGGCCCACAGGTTCATTGCGTTCGTTTCATGGGGCACGGTCAGCCTCGAGTTGCACATCTCGCTCGAGCCCTCGTGACAAACACACACAGCCCGGTCCACATCATCAGTGGACACGTGTGGAGCTGAAGCCCAACAACGCGGGCGAAGGTCGGTACAAATGACTCGACTACGACATCGTTGTAGCGTGCAGTTCGTGGATGTGTACGGCACTATGAAAGCTCACAGTCGACTACATTATATAGTACGAGCCCGACGATTGTGTGAATTAGTCATAGGCCTCTCCTAGGTCGACTCAGCCTGAAATTAGTACCTGGTGCGATATGTATACATCGCCACTCGGAAGACAAAGGCGGCCTGGCGTGGTGCCGTGCAGTCCTTCATAGGTGTTCGCTAACATCGCTTACCCCAACAGTCTAAATGGGGGATCTTTGTCTTTTGGTATTTAGAATTTTTTTTAAATCAGTATTTCTGGAAATGTTTTCGTAACCATCCAAATGTAAATGGCCATATTGGCAGACACCCCATCATGCGTCATTGCCCAGATGCACCAAATCATCGGATAAACCAGCGGTCGGGAACCTATGGCTCGCGAGCCATATATGGCTCTTCCAGTGATGGCATATGGCTCCCAGACAATTTTGAGTTGAAAAAATAAAAAAAAAAATCAGTTTGGAACTGATTTTTGAATACTTGTGATATTGCTTAATAATACTGTGTAATTTTAAAGTAAACAGAAATTCGTTTTGAAGATAAATTTCACGGGTCACGCCTGCATGAAGCTCAACCTCACCACGTATGAACCAGACTACAAGGCCATCAGCAAAACCATGCAGCACCAGAAGTCGCATTAAAAGTAAGACATATTTAATTTATTATACGTTAAAAATACTATATGGCTCTCAATGAAATATATTTAGAAATATTTGGCTTTTTATGGCTCTCCCAGTCAAAAAGGTTCCCGACCCCTGGGATAAACGCACGTGGAACACGATTGATGGTGACATTGAGATAATGACAGCATCGTCACGTCCTGTCAACGTTTGCTCCACTAATAGCGTAATAGATATTCGATTTAAAATAACAGGACTCTTTTTTTATGGAACTATAACACAAACCCAACGTGTCAATGTTGTTATGGCAGTTATGTGGTCTTTAGGTACAGTACTGTAGTCCACTTTGTATTCGGACGAATTATATAATACCTTGAGCCTGATAAAATATTTGTTGTTCATCTTCTTGGTTCTTTCGGTAAAGTCATCACGTAGAATGGAAATAATAAAATAATAAAAATAAAACATAATAAAATAATTCTCACGATGTTTCGGCCACAATGCAAGCAGCCGTCCTCAGGTGAAGAACAGGTCTGTCGAGAAGACAGAGAGAAGACAGAGTCTCTCGACAGACCTGTTCTTCACCTGAGGACGGCTGCTTGCGTTGTGGCCGAAACGTCGTGAGAATTATTTTATTATGTTTTATTTTTATTATTTTATTATTTCCATTCTACGTGACTTTACCGAATGAACCAAAAAGATGAATCCCTGCAGTCACGAAAGCTTTAAATCGAAATATTTGTAGTTGTTGAATAATCCACTTGAGCCCAAGTTGAAAAGGATAGAATTACACTTTTACCACCAGTCACGGAATAAGACAACCAAGGTGAAGACGCAGACCTGCAATTGCCGTCACACCGAACGACTGCCAGAAGCGCCTCCTACGAGATCAAACTCAAGACAGCCCAGCCGCTCTAGAGGAGGACAGAATGTGGCCTATGGGGCCGTCCATAAATGACGTCATTCACCTAGGGGGGGGGGTCATACATTTGTGACGTGTGACGAGGGGGGGGGGGGAGTATGTGACGTCACATACAAATGCGCAATTTTAAATAAATATAGGCAACACGTTCTACTTAATTAAATAGACGTTTTATTACAGGTAGGAACAACAGATTCCACACTGCCCACCAGGGCTTATTTGTCTGTCTGTCGTGCATATTTGTCTGTCGTGCACGAATGCGCCGTCCAACCAAGTTCCTACCTGCCCACTCAGAAGGAACGTGTTAAATATTTTCTCCTACAACAAGAGTGCAGCGGCACATTAAATACGCACTACAATGAATATAGTTTAAAGCGATTTGAAGCATGTTTTATTTACAAAATGGAAATGTGGTTTTGGGGGACG